TGAGCTTTGAAACTTCTTTTTAGATATGATCTTGTTGACATCAGCAGACAGGCGTTGCACCTTCTGGTGATTCCACTCTACCATGACCTCATACGAGCCTACAACGCCAAGTCGGCTCCTCAAGTTGCTCAGATCGGTATCAAACTACTTAACATGTTTGATGACCTGGACAAAATACTTCAAACCAATCATAAATTTCTTTTGGAATGCTGGCTAAACTCCGCGAAAGCCATGGGAACAACGCCAGAAGAGGTTAAGCTTTACGAGTATAATGCGCGCATTCAGATTACTCTTTGGGGACCTACAGGGAAGTTTGACGACTACGCCAACAAGATGTGGAGTGGCTTGGTAAACGATTACTACAAGCCGAGATGGGAGCTTTTCATTGAAGAAATTGTTGACGCTATTCGACAAGGAAAGAGGTTGGACAATAACGCGTTTGCTAAAAGGGTACTTGAAAGAGAAACTACTTGGACGCAAGGTAGAAAAAAATATCCTTGCAGACCAGTGGGCAACAGTGTTGAAGTGGCGATGTTCCTACATAGGAAGTACCGCTTGTACTCGAGTCGAAGGAGGATTGAGTTAGCTTGTATTAAGGAAGATTAGAATGACAGCCTTGTGATGAAGTGAATAGTATAATATTTATCCCTATGGGGAATCAATCTAGTCTTCCCCAAGGTATTAAACTGTACACCACCATATGAGGACCCAATCAACCCGACAGCGCTCTCGGGAACCGACCTCTCTCCCCATTCCTTATCCCAATCCTCCAAATCAAATGGAAAAAATTGTTATGAAGTAATTTTGTGTCTGTTTTAAAAGTCATTATCATTAAGATATTTAACGATAGTTTCTTTGTTCCTGAGTTTTCGTTCGTGCTTAGGGTTTCGTTATATTTAGGTTTTAAGATCAAGGTTAATCCGTAATTCTGTTATCAGGTTTTGTTTGATGTCATTACCTTTTTAATGGGTTTGTCGACATAATCGACATAACTGTCTTTCATATTGAGGTTTAATTAAGCTTGATTGTCAGTCTTTGTGGGTTCGTTTTGGCACCATAGCTGACCTTGATTGTTATCTACATCGGAGTTCCTGTTTGGGTGTAACTTAGAGCCTTGTGGGTTTAGTTGTCAAGCCAGTTTATTGGTTTCCTAGTGCTTGAAGGTTCAATCTTATGAGCTTGTTTTTACCCACTTTTGTGATCGACAGGAAGTTCGCATAAGTTACTAAGAAGGGCGTTCGTAAACTCTCATGGTCAGCAAGCCTGAACGTACCTACGTTTTACTAATATAAGTTGCCAGTATTTGGCACAGGTCGCTATTAGTTGCTGAGCTGTAGTAGTTGGTGACGGACATTAATAAAAGAAGGAAAGTATCCAAGCTTTGTCAGAGTCCTGGTATACTACCGCTAGTGAGCTAACCCTGTCAAAGAACTCCCTTACACTACGTTACATTTATTTCTTTACTATTACCAACTTAACACTCCTCACGATTCAAGAGTTTTAAGTTACATAATACACTCTGTTTTTTTTTCTTGCTTTTAAGACATTCAGCCCAGAAGGTCTGATAGAAACCCTTCAAAGTATCAAAGCGTTTGTAGCCCTTACCAGTATCAAAACAAAGATCTGTCAACTTTGCAGACGCACCTACCGGGTCTACCACTTGTTTCAATGTGATGTAGGGCAAGGCTATGTCCCTTCTTTCTGGCCAACAAGATCCATAATTTCATGGAGATGTAGACCCATCAGAGCCATTGAGATTACCAACCCTATGCGGAAACCATGAGGCGTGAAGTGTTCACTTGCTAGCCGTTGGCGTAAGGCTACGGAGTACACATTCAGCCTGTTTGGGCAGCCTGTGAGGTCATGCATTGACGAGAAACTTTCCCTATCGTTGTTACAGGGCGGAAAAGATATCCGAACCAAGCACTATTCCCATAAGACAACAACTCCGAGCCGGAGAACGGTCCATGCAACAGGAAAATATCTACGTTATGACAGACCCAGCAGCCAAGGGTCTGCCATCGGGGGCTTAAGAAACAATTCCCAGGCATGTGGAATTTTCTTTATGTAGGCCACCAGCAATGAATTCATCAGGGACCCTTGACCTTAACGCCCCAATCAGTGGCAGAACATCCGTCAAAAAAACATGTTTCCAATGCACATTCAACTCTCGTTTCCATCCCAGTCTACATTAACCAACGATTGGGATATTTTAGGTTGCAAAATTTCCGCTTTCCTCTCCATTAATTAGCACTTACTCTTAATCGCTATCTTCGTTAACCGAAGAGAAGGGAAACGGAAACAAAGAGATATTACACAATAAAGAAACAACCCGCAAGAGAAAAAAATGAGATAGACGAAGTTCCCGACCAGGACGAGCAACTTCACAT